GTCTGCAAAAGGGAGCCTACACTACAGAGGATCTGTTCTGTGGAACAAGATTCCCTCAGAGATTAGAAAACTGCCTAGTTTAAATGTTTTTAAAACTTCAATTCATGGGAAAGATTTTTCTAATACACCATGACCCATTGTAACTCTTATTATTCATAATGTAAGTTTTTGTATTTTTAACATTATAGTCAATAGTTCCTTAGAGTATTTTAGTCTAGTTTTAAACACGATTCCTGGGAAGACCATGTAAAATGATACGATTTCGTGTATAAATAAAAAGATTGATGATGATGATGATGATGTCGCTAGTGATATGTGTTCCCCAGGTAGGGGCACAGACATCACTAGGGATACGTGTTTCCAGTGTAGGGGAACGCATACCCCTAGCTATATGGGTAAAAACAAGAAGTTCAAAAAGTCGAAAACTTGGGATTTCTCCGAAGTCGTTAGTCCATGGTTTTGATAAAAATTGGCAATTTTTCCATTTTTATATTTTAGGAAAAATAGGCCGGGAAAATGTGTTTCACGATATTCTAGGAAGAAAAAAAAAGGCCTGTGCGGACTATAAAAACAGGAAGTACAAAAAGTCGAAAAACTGGGTTTTTCCAAAGGTCCATAGTTCTGGTGAAAAATTGGCTTTTTTTCCATCTTTTTATTTTTGGTAAAGTGGGCCGGGAAAGTGTGTTTTACGATATTCTACAAAGAGAAAAGCCGTTTCTAGACTATAAAAACAAGAAGTTCAAAAAGTTGAAAATTTGGGATTTTTCCAATGGGGTTAGTCCATGGTTTTGGTCAAAAATTAAGTCAGACTTCGTTTAAATAACCGGAAAGATTTGACTTAGTCGCTACTGGCCTGGCTATTAGCCCGAATTTCATCCGATCACTTCGAGTCGTTATTACTCCCTTAGCAACTCGTTGCTGAGAGGAGAAAACGACTCGAAGCAATTGGATGAAATTCAGGCTACCTGGCCATGCTAAAAATTTCTTCCGTGAGACCAGAAAAGTCTGATGGCATAATATATTAACTTTACCAAAACGTTTTGCAAACTTAAAGAGGGTGAAACGAACGGACTCGAGGTCCCTACGAGGTCGACTCCACTATAGAGCAGACTAGAGGGGAAAAATGAATTGTAATGAAAAGATAAGAGAGATTCTGTTACAAGAAAATGCGAATCGAATAAAACAACAATCAAAGCCATTACATGTCCACTAAAAGCAATGGGGCCAGGACCGTTTTCCAAATTCACTCGAAATTGTTTATTGCTCCTTGTAAAAGCTGTTGTTTAAAAAAAGCAGAAGTATGGCGCAAAAGAACTCAAAGGTAATTTGAAATAATAAAAATAAGACCATGTAAATATCCGTCCTTTAATAGCGAGGTACCGAAGCGTTAAGGGTGCAGATTCAAGTGACTACAAATTATCAGCACTTCAAGTACAATTCTTATATATCGTTAATAGCTACCTTAATGAAGCCATTGATAAATTTCGGAAGAACAAGCATTGATCGCGGTGTTCATGCCACTACGATACAGAAACTAAACGCAAACGACGGAGGCGCAGCTTGTAGAACTAAGCCTTTCTGAAACTTAAGTCAATTCAATATTAGGATTCAAGTCTTCTTTTCTATCCCTCGGAATTCATCTTTTTTAGTCGTTTTACGGCTAACGGTTAACCCCCCCTGAAACCCTTAAAGAGGCTCACGGGAAGGGTGACCTGTAAAATGTTAGGGATGGGAGGGAGGAAGAGAAATAAAGTATACTACTGTGTAACTGGGGAGGGTGGGTTTGTACAGTCTTCTATACAACTGTGGTTGCTTGTCACTAATAGAATTTTAGCGTGGATTTTTTAACACATTTTAGGGCAACGTGCTTCTTCATTTGTCTGATAAAGTTTAAGAGTCTTTCAGGCAAGCTGGGCACTTTGAGTCATATTTTTTCATATTACTGAGCTTAAATAAAACTTTGTCATTGTTGTTGGTGGTGGCGCTGTCATGACGATGGTTGTGCATGCCTTTAACTTGATGCAAAAAAGGATCCTTTTTCTCGCTTTATTGAAGTGAAACGGAGTTCGTTGGGGTCTTAGCCGTTTCGCGTCCGTGGCCAAACACAAAAGAGGCACCGATTCCAATCAACAATTGTACTGATAAGTACAAGTTGTTTTTCTCGCTAAGAGCTATACACATTTTATTCTAAAAATAAAAAGCAATCAGTTCTTATAAAAGAGTAATCTCGATGACCAACCTTGCAGCAAAGCTTTTCACTGATCTTCACTCAGCAAAAGCCCGTGTAACCATAAACTTATATGCTCCTTTTTATTTCAATTAATTCTCGTGAAAACCAGTCTTTCAATGGTATGCTACTTTTAGCGGGTTTTACACGATCTCTTTTAGAGAAGACAATATAAAAAAATAATTTAATCGTCGGTCAAGAGGCAAGAATGAAATAATTTTGCAAGGAATCGCAGCGCTGACAAATATGTTCGAAAAATAACTTGATGACTGCAAACCATAAGAACAATTTTGATATCTAGGTTAACAATTTGCTTAAAATTTGCCTTGTATGCCCTGTTGGAGTCACTTGAGCAAGAAAACAACACTATGGCCATTTTAAAATAAACTGTTAAATCCAGTTTAATGCTTTCTTTTGTTTTTGGACTGTAAATTAGCTTGTAGTCCTGCTAAATTGGCTTAAAATGTTTTTTTTTCGCTTCACTGAAAATTTGAAGCTAATATACTGATTACAGAGCGAGACCTTGACGTGTGACAAATCGGTAACACGTGATCAGTGTTTGGTGATAAATAGCGGAAAGCTGTCTGTGTTCTAAATTATCTTGGTTTGTCACCGGTTGAATTAGAGGAAAAACTCGGCTCACATTAGTGAGTGAATTGCAAAGACGTAGAGACCCTGAACGGTATGTTCGCTTACTGAATTGTCTAATTTTACGCTAGTTTATTATTCTTCAAAGCTTTAAATAGTGTAGGGTACGTGTGCTTGACAATCCAAAGTCAGAGGTCGTGTTCGCTTAACATTGGGTCCGTTTAATACAGGCTTCACCGATTCAGTTAATTCGTATCAGGTTCTGTGCATGGACCTGATGTAGCTCTGAACTTGATATACCCTCTTTTGTCTCTAGAGACTCAGCGTGTCTTAAAACTGAAACTCACAGTTGAGTTAACTTTTTTTGCTTAATTTTTGACTAATGCCCCCGTTGTGCAGACAAAAGTATTTTCATTGTCGAAAAACTGGTTTGTAAATTTTCACAGTCTTAAGTTTGCGGCATAACATTTATGTCCAACCCTTAAAAACATTTAGTTCCTCAGTATAAACAGTGGATGACATGGCAAATAAAACCACACTCAAATTCTCTGCAGGCGATAAGCTACACTGCTTATAATTGTGAAGTATTTTTTTCGTTTTCAAGTGTTTTTCCCAAATTTGGTTTAATAGTGCATCCAACAGCTGAGGTCAACCTACAAACATCTATAGACCCGTACATATATCATAGGATTTGTTTGAGTTGTTTCGACTGATCGCCCAGAATTTTAAGCTAGACTGAAATATTTAGTTGCGCGTCCAAGCCGTTTCACTCCACTGGCTTTTTAGACCTGTTTGAATTAGCTTTTACTGTCAGTTTTTGTTTCTTGACGAGACTCTTCCTTTCAATTTGCGTCCTATTCACGGAATTATAATTAACTTCTTCGCATAAAATCTGGAAAGAAAAAGTTGAGGTCCCTTGAGAACATGAAAACAAAGGACATGGGTCATAAAGAAGCCCCTCTTGAGGTAAAAAAAGAGGTTAAGCCAGTTTTAGTCATTTGTAATTTCGTAAGCCCTCGAGCATAAGCATATGGCCAACCCATTTGTCCCTTAATTTTTTTTTGTTTTTAAGCTTTCAATAATTAAAAAATACAACAGTCAAATGAGGCGGCTATGCGCGCTTGTTGCACAAACAAGCTACGTGCCTGACGTATTTTTTGGAAAAAGAGAAAAACTCTCCGTTTTTAAAAAATATCCAGATACAAGGGGAGAGTGCCTGAGACAACTGACTGAAGGCATTTGTCCTCGTAATTGTACACTTAATGCAATCGTTGGTTTTTGTTTTGATCAGTTTTAGGTGCAAGCCGCAATATGTTTACAAGAATCGTTGCCATTATTTTTGTTGCTATTTTCGGTATCCTTCTCGCTGGTGGGTCCGTCATAAAGCCCAAGCCGGGGATACGATTTCTTGAGCCAATTTTGAAGTGTTACGGAGATGGGCAAAACGGTAATATGGGTCGCCCCCAATCGGATGACGAAATCATAAAAACGGTCTGCCAGGATATGAAGGTAGGTACAGCGGTTACTACCATTTACGTTGGGCCCCAAGCCTCTGTTTCAAAGCGAGGCTAAGTTGCCAAACTATTGATGTAAAAATGATTGTTCATTCTCATTCAAATAAGACTCATTTTTAAAAGAAACGTTCGGCACTTTCCCTGCGAGCACTAACAAGTGAAACTGACCAGAAAAATCGTCACAATGATCACAGCTTTCAAAACATGAACTATCTCACTTAAATCGATGTACTGCACTTGTGGGAATTCAACACTCAACATCGCAGAGATAAGTTAATCATGATTTTTTTTATACATTATCTAGCTGCCTGAAATGATGACTGCAGCAGATTTTGGGGCAGAGTAAAAGCAAAATATTTAATTTGTTGGTTAATTATTAACGAACCCAGTCTAACCTTCATATAGCATATAGGGGACACTTAACCAAGTCTCGAAGGTGTCCCCTGAATAGAGGTACCACAGTAGCTAACAAAAAGCGTATTCAATTTTGCTTTCGGATTGATGATATGAAGATTTTGGGAGATATCGAGGACCTTATTCACCTCAGCCGGTAACACTATCTTCGATCAGCAAGTACAACTTCGTATTATCATCCTATCTAACCCAACAATTGTTAAAAACTTTCCACTGGAAACCACCCGAAAATTTGACCATCAAGCTTAGATCAGATATCTACTGCCAAGTTACTACAGAAGTGCAAAGCTTTTGTTTCGACTTCTTGCAGACGCCATTAAGGCAGAACCAGCCCCTGTCCCTAAGGTTTTCAACTTCTTTGCCCTGACTGCATACCAGACAAGCTATCTTTATAAGCGATCAAATCTGTGTCCAAAACTATCTTATGGACGTGTAAAGAAAATTACAGAGGACTCGGGTGAGTAGAACAGATTTCAGAGATTTTCCAGCAAGAGTCATTTTGCAAGTCATTCTCCAACCTGTCCTGAAAGTAACGCTCATCATCATATCATGTATACAAGTTGCACAAGAAAACATCACTCAGATCAGTTATTGGTTATACTTTACAAGATTTTAAACTAGACACACAATACAACAACCAAGTGGTAGCATAACGCCGTAAATGATCTAATAAACGCCCAGTCTCAAATAAGCGCCTCTTTTCTGATAAACGCGCGCGCCCCCTCTACAAGACGATGTTGAGTTTGTGTTAGACGCCCGACTCTCTAATCAACGTCCCCTGTCTAATAGACACCCCCACGACAAAAGCATAGAGAATTAAGATCAATCAATTTTGCTCAGTTTCTTGCTTGGCTTAACAAGGGTTTGTGCAGACATATTAAATTCTGCAAGCAGAATACTGCAATGCTGATCGTACTACGTGAAAATTAACTCTGCAAGACATCAACACGACACCAAAAGAACTCAAAACAGAGCGGGATTGAATCTTGTTCAATACCAAGTTCAAAGTAACAATAGGCTATACCAATGACAACATAGTAAATTTCACCAAGGGTTCTGTCATAGAAGCAACTTTTTTAAGATTTGAAAGAGCAAGATGGATCCCTAGTCAGCATAGACGTTTCAATTGATGGTGTGAATATTCCACTATTTATAAACTCTTCCGATACTTTTGTTGAGCTTGTTACAGTTATGAGAGTAAACTTCTTCTCTGGAAGCCTATACACTTAACCACTCATCGCTCTTTCCGCACTCCACCCCTTCCCCCACCCTTGAGCTTTCATTACTAAATTTTATATTTTAAGAAACGGAAAACGTTTTCATACTTTCATCTGCCGGTACCTACAAAATCATCTAAGTTCATCCAGCGGTATACAAGGCAAGCAATGCTCGCTTTATCCCCAGTTTTCCCCGTAGGCCTTCAGTATTCTCCCTGGATCCCCTTGCTGGCATGGCAACAGGGGTGGCAATCATTGGAGCATGTAATTAGCCGTTTTCTCTTCAAAACAATTTCTTTACCGTTTACCTTTTTCTTGTAGGCATACTGAAACAAGAAGGGCTGTCCAATATAGGTAAGCGCAACTTTTTCTTATTCCCGCGTAATGTTCTCGGCGAAAACGTTTGTATTGCTTAGGCTTTCAAACCCTTACGAAGTGACCAACATCAATTTTCTCCTACCCTCCCCCCCCCCCGGGGGGGGGAAGCTACTAACCAACTGTGCCAGTCTCCTTCATTCAGCTGTTTATTACGTTTCTTAACTCGAGCATTCGAGGTTTCTGGGTAACTGACCACCTACCCCTCCCCTAGGTTACAATTTTGTCCTAAGTGAGAAGGAAGTACTAATGTTAGGGGAGGGGTAGGTAACCAGTTACCCAAATGATCCATTAATTATTCTTAGCGGACGATCACTACGAAAACTGCGTTGGAGATGCTTTGAAGAAATGCACAGTGGAAGAAATGCGTGTAAACGGGGAAGACGATGACAAAGACGAATACGTGTTCTTCAACTGCATGAAAACAGAGCAAAAGACCTGCAATCCGCTTATCATGCGCCATTTTATGGATCAGATGGACGCGTACAAGAAACGTTGGAAGAAACTAATGGAACTAGAACAGATCGAGGGGATGTGAATTTGAAAGTTTTCATCTCGCATTGAAGCTCTGCGTACAAAACAAAAACGAACAAGACGTTTTCTCGTTGAATTCAAAATGATACTTTCGGCTGATAGCAGTGCACCTTATAATTTCACCATACCCATCATGCAAATTTGCAGGTGCTTAAGGACTAATAGGATAAAAGCAATGTCACCTTGTTTCTCCTAGAGGGAAACAAAAGCAATTAAATTTGCTATACACGAAATCAAGGTCCGGTTTGTTTAATCTAGAACATAGAAAATGAAACACTTTTAAGCGTAAATAACGGCGGAGCAAGGAATAATGACGAAAACCTTGATCAAAAATTGTTGTGTACGATTTGTATTAGTAAAATCGTTGGCTCAGTTAGAGGTAAACTCAAACTCAACCACGTGACATTGCTTTTTTCCCATCAATCCTAAAGCGCAGGCAAAGATGGCGGGTATCGTTTGAGTCAGGTCGTGTCGTGTGAGCGCGAAAGTTACGTGCCTCGCTCGCTGACACGTCACATGCGCCCCGCCACGTGACAATCATGAAGGACTCCTAGCAATCTAAACGCACGGTGTTTGTACTTGTGGGCAGTCATTGAATGTTAATCTCTTAGCCTTGTCAGCACAACACACGTTACTATGATACAAGATAAATAAAAACTCACATAAACTGTGCGAGTTCAGTTGCACTTTGTTAACTTTTTTAGGAAGATGTAACGTTTGTTATGTTGTAAGGGGGTGTGACAATTAAATGTCCCTGGCCACCCGACGATTGCCTCTTCCCTTTCGTTTTTCCTCGTAGTCTTTGCCCTTCTTACCCCTAATCTGTTATAAAATTTTACATTTTCCGAAAACGTGAACACATTTTACAAACACTAATGACATTAATAAACAAATAATAACCATTTGAAAAAACGTCCAACACAGTAAAGGAAAAAGAGTTTTAACCGTTTACTTTAAAACTCATGCTCCATACACTATTACTGCAAAATGTTTCCCCTAATCTATGCCTGTTTCGCCGAACGAATCAGCACTAAGAGCCATACTTATACTATCGATTTTCAGTTACAAACACGCCAGTACTGAAGAGCATTCTAGAATAAAACGGGAACGTCTTCGTGACCAAAAGGGAGAAAATCAAGGTCAAAACGACATCAAGGCATAAAATATTGAAAGTTGGTGGAACATATTATTTAAACAGCTGAAGATTAATCGGCAAGGCTAGCAACTGGACAGGCAAGGATCACGATCGGATTTTAAAATTCATCAAAAAATAAATATGCACGTTTTTAAAGCTGCCTTAACTGCAGTTTTACCAACTTATACTAGTAGCTATACACGCGAAATAAAATGCCTTCAATGGACAGTCCCTATTGACATGAGGTCTGTAACATGTGTACAGCTAGTGTATCAAGGTTATTTTCCTCACGAATTTTAACCCACAGTAAAGAAAAAGGTTTGCAGAGCAAAGATATTTTTTGCTCACTTTAATCACCCTCAGAAATTTTTCCATTGACCTCGCTAGTCTTTGCCCTTCGAACCCCTAATCTGTTATAAAAAGTTTACATTTTGGAAAACGTGAACACGTTTACAAATACTAATCAACTTATAAACAAATAATAACCATTTGAAAAAACGTCCAACACAGTCAAGGAAAGCGAGTCCTATAAGTAACCGTTTACTTAAAAACTCATGCTACATGCATTATTAATGCAAAACGTTCGCCCTAATCGATGCCCTTTTTCGCCTAAGGACTCAGCACTATGAGCTATACTTTAACTACCAATTTTACAAACACTCCAGTACTGAGGAGCATTTTAGAATAAAAATGGAACGTATTCGTAACCAAAAGAGAGAAAAGCAAGGTCAAAATAACATCAAGGCATAAGATATTGAAAGTTGGTGGAACATATTATTTAAACAGCTGTTAATGGGAAAGGAAGCTCCAAAGTTGACAAAAATGTAGTACGTGCCGATCATGAAAACATTTAAATACCTTTTAAATTTGGGCAGAAAGTAAAGCGAATAATTTTATCTGTGAGCCGGTTAAGTATATAAAAGTTTTATTTCTTCTTTAATACGTTAAGATTATAATCGGCAAGGCTAGCAACTGGACAGGCAAGGATCACGGTCGGATTTTAAAATTCATTAAAAAATAAATATGCATGTTTTCAAACCTGTCTTGACTGCCGTTTCACCAACTTATACTAGTTGCTATACACGCGAAATAGGAATTTATATCTTTCCAAGATACCACGTTATACGAAATCAGTTTATCGTTTACAGAGGGGTTAGGCATTCAAAGACTTTTGGTATAATGCATATTAAAATGTAAAAGTCGCTGACTCACTTTAAACTCAAACTGGAAAAATCACAATATTTCGACCTGTTGCTGTTGGGAATTAATAAGTAATTGTTAAGTTTTCTGAACCACACGGTATTTAATAATAATGACGATGATGATAGAACTACTGTACCTCAAGAATGCCTTTAATGAAGAGTCTTTATTTAACTTGGGCAAAATAAGCAAAATGTTTCGTTTACTTGTACACAGTATGATTATCAGCTGAATTTTTTGAAGTCTTGTTTTATTCTGTGCTATCATTTTAAGTGTCTCTCGTTACCAATGGCTATAATTTTCCGGCTTCATATCCTCGTAACAGCAATAGCTAACATTAATCTGTTTATTTCAGATACATTCTTCTCAAGAACTAAAAAGCTTGTATCACTAGACTTGTTTTTCCTTACAGAAACAATACTAAAAGACTGAATATTCAGAATGTAGTTGAGGATTTCTTTTATTAATAGTGATATTTAAAGGAAAAAGACCAAGTTCAGTTCTTTGTGCTATATTAAAAGCCTTGTTGTTTTACACCTCTAAGTACTGCTTGCAAAATTGAGGGTGTGTTCACGGTTAACAGTATTTCACGACAAACTCAATCTTTCCGTCGTAGAAGTAACTGACGCTCAGCTCGTTCGCTCCATTTCCCCAAGCAGTGCGCTCTCAGTTCGCTCCGCAATACCAGAATATCTCGCGACGCGGGGGATATGGTAGTTTGATCACTCGGTTATAAGTACCCTGGTATATACGTTCACTCAATACCTGGATGGAAGAGGCGCCTCTGCAGCGTTCGTAGGTTGCGTCAACACGTTTGCAGGCTACGCACTTATAAATCCACCACTTGATCGTACCATCCGGTGCGAAGTAAAAATCTACTCGGTTTCCCTCTCCTCCAAACCCGACCCGCTCTCTGGACGACCCACAATTCCAGACGAGTTCTCTCTGAGTATGTGGTAGGCGGATCTGACCACTGCTCCCATGGTGGTAGCGACGGTGGTTGATAATGAAGTCTGCGTTTCTGCATTTGTCGGTGGTGTGCTCGATCCTAGTGCAGTGGTCGCCATATGCCGGGGAAATATGACTGGCCATGTAGAACATGACTGTAAGGGTGGCAACTGTTTGAAAAGCGCGCCCATCCATTTTCGCCCTCGTGTTGTCTTCTGGTCAGTTGAATAAGCGTTTGCTTCAGCTTAAAGATGAAGGGGACCGTTTGAGAGTGACATTGGCTACTGTGTTTCTTGCGCCTGTATAGACGACGTTAATGCAAGACAGGTTGTGTTCTCTCGCCTAAAAAGGGATATTTTTGTACTTTCAAAATAGTGTTAGTTTTAAATGACCGTATATGGCAAATGTCAGTCCAAACTTGCACCTGTGCCAATTACGTTTCGCAGTTGGCTGGAAGTTACCCAATCAGCTCAGTCAGCATCAGTCCTGCTGAATAAGGGTAACGCAGGGTCTGGGAACGAGAATAGAGACTTCACAAAAATGTGAGTCGGCTAAGATCTTTTTTGCTGTACTATACTTTAAACTGCTCTGTTGCCCTCTTCAGTTCTTCCATCGACCTTACCGTTAGTCTTTGCTTGTTGTAAATTATTGAAAGTTAATCGGTGGAACATGATTTAAACAGCTATGTGAATGGAAACGGATGCTCTCACGTTGTGTCGACACACATCGTTTTCTTACGTAAATGTAGATTGCAAATTACGATCGGATTTTAAGATTCATTAAAAATAAACATGCATGTTTTTCAAGCTGCCTTGACTATAGTTTAACCAATTTGTACTAGTTGCTACACCCGCGAAATAGGAATTTATATCTTTCGAAAGATCGGACTGTTTTCTGAAAGCATATAGAGTAGAAAAGCATTTATCTTCCTAAAATAACGCGGCACTAAGGAAGAGATCTGGAGGTCCGAAGATTTGTTTAACCACGGCTTAAGTTATACTTCGTTTAAATAACCGGCCCTAAATTTTTGTCGGCCATAGGAAAGACCTAACCTGGCCATTCTAAAACCCTATTCCATGAGACTTTTAGGCTATGGAACAGATTCAAGTGACTACAAGCAGCACTTCAAGTACAGTGGTAATATATCATTAATAGCTACATTATAGAAACCATTGATAAATTTCGGAAGAAAAATCATTGATCGCGTTGTTCATGCCACTACGATACAGAAACTAAACGCAAACGACGCAGGCGCAACTTGTAGAACTAAGCCTTTCTGAAAATGTAGTCAATTCAATATTAGGCTTCAAATGTCCTTTTCTCTGCCTCAGAATTCATCTTCTTAGTCGTTTTACAGCTAACGGTTAACCCCCCTAAAACCCTTTACGAGGCTCAAGGGAAGGGTGACATGTAAAATGTTAGGGACCGGAGGGAGGAAGAGAAATAGAATATACTACCGTGTAACTGGGGAGGGTGGGTTTGGACAACCTTCTATACAACTGTGGTTGCTTGTCACTGATATAGAATTTTTGCTGGATTTTTTAACACATTTTGTTTGATAAAGTTTAAGAGTCTTTCAGTCAAGCTGGGACCTTGTGTGCTATTTTTCATATTACCGAGCTTAAATACAACTTTGTCATTGTTGTTGGTTGTGGTGCTGTCATGACGATGGCTATGAATACCTTCATCTTGATGCAAAAAGGAGTCTTTTTTCTGGCTTTATTGAAGTGAAACGGAGTTCGTTGGGGTCTTAGCCGTTTCGCGTCTGTGGCCAAAGACAAAAGAGGCACCGATTCCAATCAACTATAGTACTGGTTAAAAGTTGTTTTTCTCGTTAAGAGCTATACACATTTTATTCTAAAAATAAAAAGCAGTCGGTTTTTATAAAAAGGTATCATCTCGATGACCAACCTTGCAGCGAAGCTTTTCACCTATAAAACCGCTTAAAGCCATAAAATTTAAACATACACCTTTTTATTTCACTTAATTATCATGATTTCCAGTCTTGCAATGGTATGCTACTCTTTGCGGGTTTTATACCATCTCTTTTAGATAACAATGTTATGTTTTTAATTTAATCGTCAAAAGTAACAAGAAGACAATTTTTCAAGGAATCCAACGCTTAAAATATGCTCGAAAAAGAACTTCAAGTGGTGAATTACTGTAAACCATACGCACAATTTTAATACCTAGATTATCAATTTGCTTAAAATTTGCTTTGTATGCCTTTGGCGTTACCTAAGCTAGAAAACGACATTATGGCCATCAAATAAAACGTAAAATCCTGTTTAATGTCTGTTTTGTTTTTGGTTTGAAGTTTTCATGCGTGATGCAAAGACAAAAGCCAAATTACTGACTCCGAAAGATCGTAAAAATACTATAAAATAGTCCACTTGAAAACACAAACAATTCTTACCAGTTTGTAATTCCTTAAAATCTTCTATGGCCCATTATATCACGTTGCGGACAGATTAAGTGCAACTCTCCTTGTGCAATTTTTCTCTTGAATGGCTCGTAAAGGGTGGGATATTTTTTTAAGAGCGTCATTACGAAGGCAAGCTGACGCTTGAACTGTTAACTTCAGTTTTCCAAACTTATAAGTCTCCAACCATAGTTGTTTTGTTTGTTTTTGTTCTACTTGTTTTTGATAAAGCAGCGTGTTCACTCTCATGGCCAGCAACTATGCAAATTTATTAGAGCAAAAGAAAGTTTTTACATAAAAAAAAGGTTCATCTCCCACAGGACTGGTTTGGAACACTTGGAACATCAACATGGCTGCCATTTCATTGTTTTGGGACACCAATATGGTCGCCGTTACGTCATGTGAAAACGCTCAAAACACCAACCAATACTCTAGGGACATGTTCTTAACACTGTCAAAGCACGAGTTTTATCAAGTCTAAAAATTTCATCCCTTGTATTTGAATTTTTTAATTGGATAACAAAAAATTTCCAGTTGTAATGGCTTTCAGTCATTAAAAATATCATGAACTAAACCAGTTTCGTAGAATTCATAGGAATTGTTTTTTACTCACAAAATTGGTAAGTATTTTTGGGACGACTTATTAGCACATTTTTAGGCCTTTTCACATGGCCTTTAATATACCTTGTTTCCTCAAAAACTTTGTACACCCACTTTTCCTGGGTATTGAAAAAAATACAGGAAATTTATTTGTTGGAATCGGAGGCGAATGAATTTTTCGCGATATTTTCTCCCCATAACTTTTCTTAGTATCTTGATTCGGCCGTTTTGAAAAAATTACGGTAATTAATAATTATTCATTCAAAGAAATAAACTTCCAAAGTTTTCTTCGCAGAAAGTCCATTAATTTGTTAAATGTAATAAGACAAATTGTTATTTTATTATTTATTGTGAAGTTGCGACGATCACCAGACTTCGCACTTCTTCTTTGGATTCATATACGCTCCTTCTTTACATTTGAAAACATCGGAGAATTCTTGAAGGTTTGACAAAGTTCCAATCACCCTGAAACAGGAGCGAAAAAAGATCATCATTTTCCTGCAGTCTCAAATGTCATCTGTCTCTTAGCCCAAGCCACCCCTCCCCCTCCCCTCCAACAGGCGGCAAGGCGAGGGAGACTCTCCCATTGGGGGGGGGGGGGGGGGGGGGGGGGGGGGGGGAAAAAAAGGCGGGTCGTTTTGTGAAAATTCCCCCAAAAAAAAAAAAAAAACCAAAGAAAAAAAAAAGGAAAAAACAAAAGAAAAAATAAAGTGGGGGGAAGCCCCCACAAACAACCTACACAAAGAATTTTCCAAGTGTGCAATCCCCCCCAAACCGGAAGCAAAAACAATCATCTCTTGTCTGCAGCCTCCAATATTCCATGTCCCTTCACCCCACCCCCCCCTCCCCCCCCCCCCCCACAGGGGGGGAGGCGGGGGGGACTTCCCCGTTGGGGGGGGGGGGGGGGGGAGGGGGGGGTCGGTGCAAATAGACGGCTGTCATTTTGGAAAATTCTCCCAGAAATAGTATAAATCACAACGAGAACGAAACGTTAAATATCAAGGGACTATATAAGTGGGGTGAGACCCCACAGAATCACTGTACACAAAGAGGTGTAGCAACCACTTTTGAGTTTGCGCACGCTCATGAGGGTGGATCAGTTTTCCACTGAATTGCACTATGGCAATGGCACTGTTCTAGGGAACGTGGTTGCTTCTTTCATTGCTTATTACAAGGTTGCGCAGGAAACGAGGATTAAAAACATCCCCCAAAAGAGTCCCACAGTGCAATGCGACACAACACCGACCCAGTCCTAGAGCAAATTACAAACGGCCGATATCAACAAATGTGAAGTTTAGAGTTGATTCAATCCGGTAGCTTAACACCTTCTCAAAGCCCGTTTCCGGTTTGTGCTGCCAGGCGAGAAACCGGTCGATTCGAAACTTATGTCGCTCTCGTCGGGGCGTCCCTCGCTCCTTCGACGCTTTCATGGTCGGCTTGTGGTCGTTTACAATCGACGTCGCCGCATTACGGCTAATTTGAAAACCAATCTTGTAAATTGAAATTACTACCGTGTACACGTAAAATAAAATCATTACCTGTATTTAGTGAGGGCATGAACGTCTTCCGTTACTGACAAAAACTCCGCAGCAGGGGTGGTGTGGGTGCACTCTTTCTGCAAGTGAACAGATTCGAATTTTCGAATTTACATTATCTCATCGAAACGTTTAAGAAAAGGGGGAAAATGGGTCTGGTTGCACTCAAGTTAGGTAACAGGCAACGTTTAGGACCTAGTGGAAAGCCAATGAGGTCATCCCTACAGTATTAAAGACAGACCCTGATGAGTCCTCGGATTGGAAGTGTGCTGGGAATGTCAATCAACAAGTTGCTGGGGCCCAGACTCCTTGCAATGGCCTGTATTATGATTAATGTTAAGGTATCGTCCTGAAACGGTCTTCTCTAATTGATCAAGCTCTGGTGATCCGCCGTGAATGTGGAGTTTCTGTCTGTACGCTTGAAAAATGTCAGTGAGATGAGATTGGATCCCCGGCAATATTCGATGCCCTGTGCTAGTACGCGGTTAGCCTATGCCCCTCACAGGCTTTTAAGTCGATAGGGTTTTACATTTGTTTCTTTGGTCAGGGCAGCTTGGCAACCTTGACTGGTTTAGTATTAATACAAAACTGAAATTACCTGAGCGTATCCAATAAAGAACAATTCTTTACTCGTCATG